CGGAGTAAAAACATCAACCAGAGGGTTAGGTGAGAAGGTTTCAATGGAGGTTGAAGAGGGTCAGCAGAAAAGGTTTCAATGGAGGTTAAAGAGGGTTAGGGGAGATGGTTGGAGAGAAGGTTTCAATGGAGGTTAAAGAGGGTCAGGAAAAAAGGTTTCAATGGAGGTTAAAGAGGGTAAGAGAAGGGGTTTGTGGAAAGGGTTTATTAAGTTTGTGGAGTCAAAATATGAGAAACATCTCGTTTGTTTCTCATCCTTTAAATATCCGTAATGTATTTTCCTTTTAAGATTTATTTAGAGATAAAGCTTGGATCCCAGGGGGTCTTTTACTCCCTCCCTATCCCCCCTCCCACCTTCCCACCTCCCCCTTCATCCTTTACCCATGCACCACTTTCTATTAAGACATATTTTCGAAGTTTTCAAGAGACTGTTCACGTTTTTTCAAGTGATTCTTCCTCTTCAGGGTTTATACTTAATACACTTTGGTACCCTTTAACCCTGTATTTAGCTGAGTAACTACGAGAAAGATATCTTCGTTTTTATAAAAAGATAAGAGATCAATTCTCTCACTTTCATTTTTTGTCTCTTCTATGAAAACTCGGATGTTATATTTAAAAGAGAAGCCAAAAATTTAAATGATCAATTTTCAGATTGACAAATAAGGATATAATTTTTGCTCAGACACAGTTTAACGGTGACGACCTGAAATTCTGAGGCCAGCCTCTTAAAGTCCAAAAATCATGGGTTTTATAATTTTTCAATTTTCATCTGTTATTTATCTGTAATTTTTTTTTAGCTCCCGGTTACGAGGATATGTTCGAGAGCGGGAACTTCAAGAGACGGAAGAGAATGAGACGACACAGTTATAAACCCTCGTTATACAAGGGTTGGTTAGGAGATCATACTCCTTCTCCTCCTTTCACTGCTCTCTATAGATCTTATCCTCATCCTCTATATTCTACCATGTCCAGGTGGGAACATCTTCTAACCTTGAAAAAAACGGGATGATCAAGAAAAAGAGCATCTCAGTTTCCTGCAGTTTTAACCCACAAGAAAGGAAATTAGTTTTTGCCACAAACTCAAAATTTCAAAACCCCTATATCTTTGCAACCTAATGGTGTCAACCTTTAAAATTCATAGTTTTAAATATCTCTATCTCTAAGGGCTAAGACATCGGGTTGCAAATATATCGAGATTAGAAAATCAGAGATTTTGCCAGTTTTATTTACAAAATAAACTGGCATCTTTTATACTTCCCCCCTGTTTAGGGTTAAAAAAAAAATTTAATTTGTTGCATAAACTCTAATTCTTTAAAAAGGAAAAGTATATACATAAATGAAAAAGTTTTCATTTGCTCCGAGAAAATATTTAGGTTTTCAAGAGAAAAAGCAACGTCAGATTCACATTTTGAAAAAATAAAAACTAAATATAATTCTTTAGTTTTCCTTTTGCTCCCTTATAAAATAAAAATTTTTTTTTGAATAGTAGAAAAAATAATTAGTTGTCTCTGAAAATATCTAAAAAATTGTTTAGATTATTTAGTCTAAATTTTTCTGAAAACTTTTTGAAAGTTTTTTCTTTTATGTTTAAAGACTATATATCCTGTCAAAAACAATCTTTCTTTTGTAATGAAAATATCATTAAATGTATATATCTAGTTCTGCCTGGCCTTCTCTCTCCGGGATGAAAACAGATTTCTCCGGGTATGGTTATACAGGGGCGGGGAACGCTATGCGAGGAGGAGGTTCTCATCTCACCTCTCCCTCCCACCTGTCAGCCTACACCCCCCTCTCTCCACTCCCAGTTAAATCTGATCTTCTGACTCCCTCCTACCAAACATATGCACAGTTCGGTGAGTTCTAGATTCAACTAATATATTATTTATTCTCCTCGAAAAAAGTGAACACTCGCCTTAAAATCAAATTGTCTAATCCCTATATCTTAGCAACCTGATATTTTAAAGCTTTTGATTTTTCAAGCAATAAAAAATTTAAAGATCACTCCTTAAATTTAAGTGTTAAACTATATGTATATTCCAGGTTCCGGAGCAGGATCAACCAACGGGTTCAATAGTTTCAATTGTAGTCGGAGAATAGAAGATGCAGCAGTATCATACTCTTCAGCAAACACATACTATTGAACCTCCCCCTTCCCCTCCCCCTACTCCTCATCCGACACCTAATATACCCCCTCCCTCCTGCTACTCCTCATCCAACACCTACTATTCATCCTTCTTCCTACTCCTCATCTTTCCTCCTACTCCTCATCCAACACCTACTATTCATCCCTCCCTCCTACTCCTTATCTTACATATTCTATTCACTCATCCCTCCTACTCCTCATCCAACATCTTCTATCCATTTCTCCCTTCTAAATCTCATCCAACACCTTCTATCCTTCCCTCCTTCGAACTCTTCATCCAACACCCTCTATCCATTCCTCCTTCTACTTCTCATACAACACCTTCTATCTATACCTCCTTCTACTCCTCATCCAACACCTTCTATCCATTCCTCCTTCTACTTCTTATACCACACCTTCTTTCCATCCCTCCTTCTACTTTTCATGCAACACCTTCTTTCCATCCCTCCCTCCTACTCATACTCCTCATCCAATGCCTACTATCCAACCCTCCCTCCAACCAGATAAAACAAGTCCCGGAGCAAGACTAAACCAATCCTCCTCCTTACTCCGTATCTAAACCAGTGTGATGAACCCTGTGAAGTGTAAACTAAGTTTAACACACTTATAAAACGGCAGCAAAAACTTTATATTTTGAATCCGATTTTTAAAAAAGTGTATTCTTTGATCTAAATATGTAAGGAATATTGAATAAAACAGATTAATAGATGATGAATAATTAAAGAAATTATCAACGTAGTTTTTAAGCTTTTAATTAAATAAATAGATAAAGAGGACTTAAACTATTCTCACTGGTACCCCTTTCATCTGAGTAGTTCGTTTTGCACTTGCCGCTATGCAATCTGACAAGCAACAAATCTAGGAAGTTTTCTTATCCGTTTTTGTGGTTCAAATCCGGAAGTTATTTTGAAAGTAAAACCCTGGTCGCCTGTTGTTAATTTTAAAGATAAAGATTTGAAGGGAATCGTTGTGAATCGATGATAGATTCTTTGATTTGGAGGCTCTTTTATACACGTTGACATTTCTTTGATGAATGAAGGTTATTAGTTTTTGATCTGCAAAAGTAGAATTTTAAAAAAATTACTAAAAACAATAAATTTGTTTAAACTGCAGACCCGAAAAGACTGCTAGATTTTCAAATGTAAAATATCAAAAATTTTAAATCTAAGCATTTTTTCAACCGTGGCAGTGTCAGCTAGTCCAATATAGAATGGATCAATCTTAAAGTTGTTTCTAAATCCCGAACCTGATAGAAAATGTATTTTATTTTTATTGTTGAATGTCATCTCGTTATTAGTGAAAAATAGAAAACAATGTTAATTCAGGACTCAATCTGATTAGACGGAGAGAAAACATGATTTAAAATGAAATGGATTTTTTTAGTTTTCGGAAATTATTTAGTTTTCTGATATTATCATACTTATTTTTCTGATATTATCATTCTTAGTTTTCTGATATTATCATACTTATTTTTCTGATATTATCATACTTAGTTTTCTGATATTATCATACATAGTTTTCGTCAGTATCTATCAATCGAGATACAACCTCTGTATTAGTCAGTTTGTAGCGTACAGATACAACTCGCTCTAGAACTCAATGTTCTACAATAATACTTTAGTCTGTATAAATCTAGATACGACGCTATATGTATTCTTTTAGTCTGTATCTATGAATCGAGATACCACTCGAGCTGGCTCTCTAATTCTCTACATGTGAATTAATATGTGTCTACACGTTATGACATCTAAATTTTGGGTTTTATGGTACATGTTAAATCAATGAACGTAGTTAAATTAAATCGTAGTCAAACTAAAGAACGTAGTTCTCAGAAATCATCGAACGTAGTTAGGGTACAGATAATGTTAGAACGCGATATAAATAGGTATGTTCAGGTTTACAAATATGTGGTTTACTACTATATTTATTACAATCCTTAATTTTCTGATATCATCATCCTTAATTTTTTAATACTTAGTTTTAATCTCCCTTAGCTTTCATTATCCTTAGTATTCTGATATCATCATCCTTTATTTTCTGATACTTAGCGTTCACCTCCCTTAGCTTTCATCATCCTTAGTATTCTGATAGCATCATCCTTAATTTTCTGATACTTAACTTTCACCCCCCGTAGCTTTCATCATTCTTAGTTTTCTGATATCATCATCCTTAATTTTCTGATACTTAGTTTACATCCCCCTTAGCTTTCATCATCCTTAGTATTCTGATATCATCATCTTTTATTTTCTGATACTTAGCTTTCATCCCCCTTAGCTTTCATCATCCTTAGTTTTCTGATTTCATTATACTTAATTTTCTGATACTTAGCTTTTACCCCCCTTAGCTCTCATCATTCTTAGTTTTCTGATATCATCATTCTTAATTTTCTGATACTTATTTTACATCCCCCTTAGCTTTCATCATCCTTAGTATTCTGATATCATCATCCTTAATTTTCTGATACTTAGCTTTTACCCCCCCTTAGCTTTCATCATCCTTAGTATTCTGATATCATCATCCTTAATTTTCTAATACTTAGCTTTCATCCTCCTTAGATTTCATCATCCTTAGTTTTCCGATATTCTTATATTATCATCCTTAGTTTATTATCTGCAAAAGAACGCCAAAACAAATGATTGAAAAGATAAAAGAAAGCTGAAGATCAGCAATAAACTGCGCGCTTCACCAATTAATACCATTCCTTTCTTTGTTTAGGGACAGGATAGGGATTCATACTTTAACAGAAGATTTAGTCAGATATGAGATAGATACTTAGAAATTTAGATATGGGGGTTATCTCACAAAGGAGAATTGATTTTAATAAAGTCCAAAAACTCGATAAACTTGTAACCTAAAGATTTGATTTTGTTTTCTGCCCTAAAGGTCTTCAAATGACAAATTAAATGATTAAAAAATAAAGAAACAAGTTTACAGCAGCAGGGAACCTTCAATTTAAGATGTAAGAAGGCTCTGCCTTTTTGTGTAAACCCAGTACTTGCAAGGTGAGGGGGACAGAGCCGGAAATTTAAAAGATTTTCAACGAACGAAAATTACCTAGTGTCCTTTTTGGGTTCTGTAGTTTTTTATTTAAGGAATTAGATTTTATTTCGTAATTAAATTTGTTTCTACTCTACAAAACTGCCTAACCCCATTCATGAAACCGGGTTTCCGATACTCGGTTTCATTATGGTACCCTGTTTTAAGTTTTGGGCTCGGAGCCCAAAACTTAAGACAGGGTACAGATATGAAAATCAGTTTTGAATGGGTTTCACGAATGGGGTTAGGCAGTTTTGTGGATATCAATAATTTTGTTATGAAATATTATTTTATTCAGTTTCTTCATATTCTCCATTTTTGTTGAATCTTTTAAATCAAAATCTACAAAATTTTAAGCCCCCATAAAGGAAACTTGGAAGTTTCGTTCAACGATACTCTTTTAAATTTCGGGCTCAGGGGTTGTGTACATTTTAATATGACATTTCATTGAAACGCTCAGAAACTGGTTTTAGGTAAATAAACAACAGTTAGAAAACAAGTCTGCCTTTCCTACAGTTCTTTCAATCTATTAATCTATCAATCTATCCATCAACCAATCAATCAGTGATCAGCTGACTTTCTAACTATTAACCGAAGTTAACCTTTCCCTAAGTATTATTATTATTATTATTGTTATAATGGCCTATTTGTTAATCCCTCCCCTCTGTTTATTATGACAAAGCTACTTGTTGAGATATAAGCGTAATTCACGAGCAAAATAATACAGTGTGCGCAATATATTCACACCTATATATAATGTTGTATAGGCCAAGGCAATATATTCACACCTATCGGCTATATCTATTTATACGCAATATATTCACACCTATCGGCTATATCTATTTATACGCAATATATTCACAACTATTTAGTACGCAATTTGTTCAGACCTTTATAGTATAGACAATATATTCACACCTATACATATAGTTTACGCTATTGACACGTATCTATATAGTTCTTACGCAATATTACGCTATATATATTGACACGTATCTATATATATGTGATATCCGCAATAAATTCACACCTCCATAATATACGCAATATTCACACCTATTTAGTGCAAATATATTTCATTATTTTTTAAACACATCAATCTGTTTGAGAGTTGAATAAGAAATGTTAACTTTACATGTTTCGAATGGGTTTATTAAAACTTGATAATATTTAGAAGTCCTAAGAAAATGTCGAATATAACGATTCAGCGAATTAACTAGTTTTTTTAATTGACGCTTTTTACATTTCCTTTCGATTCCATGAAAAATTAGGAAGTAGTTTTCAAATAAAGAAATTCGATACTTGTTGAGAATATTAAAAATATAAAAGTGGGAACTAGGTATTGGAATAATATCAAAGATATACCGTTACATCACATGAATTATAGTTATTTATTTGACCTCTTTGGGTTTTTAGATCCTCTATTTAAACCTGAAAAATATGAAATTGTCCAGAACTGTTGAGTACTGTTTGCTCCAAGTCCTAGTATTGAATGTATCTAATTTACCTGAGGTGTCTCCGTCCTTCTGTATGTTTAGTCTATCCTCAATTTTACAAAATTCCAAATAGGACGCTTTTTTAGAAAAAGGTTGGAATCACAATGACCCAGAGAAACACTCCTGGAATGTTTCCTCTGTCGGAGCTAGTTCTGAGGGTTACACGGAGAAATTAAACAATCTTTAACAGAGACCTTCTAATCCAAGAATTTGAAAACAGGGAAATTAAAACTTGGAAGTTGGGAAAATGGAAAAGACCGATTCAGAAAACAAATAACGAAAAAACATTAGAAAACAAAATCTGAAAGTTTTAGAATTTAAAACATACTTTTTGATCTAGTTCTATTTCTAGTTCTAGTTCTAGTTGTAGTTGTAGTTCTAGTTCTAGTTCTAGTTCTAGTTCTAGTTCTAGTTCTAGTTCTAGTTCTAGTTCTAGTTCTAGTTCTAGTTCTAGTTCTAGTTCTAGTTCTAGTTCTAGTTCTAGTTCTAGTTCTAGTTCTAGTTCTAGTTCTAGTTCTAGTTCTAGTTCTAGTTCTAGTTCTAGTTCTAGTTCTAGTTCTAGTTCTAGTTCTAGTTCTAGTTCTAGTTCTAGTTCTAGTTCTAGTTCTAGTTCTAGTTCTAGTTCTAGTTCTAGTTCTAATTCTAGTTCTAGTTCTAATTCTAGTTCTAGTTCTAGTTCTAGTTCTAGTTCTAGTTCTAATTCTAGTTCTAGTTCTAGTTCTAGTTCTAGTTCCAGTTCTAGTTCTAGTTCTAGCCCTAGCTCTAACTCTAGTTTTTATTCATGTGCTCTTGTTTTTTTTTTCATTGTTCTTTTAAGTTGTTATTTTCAGGTCCATCTCTTTCTTTTCCTTTTATCCTTGTCCTTTTTATGTTGTCCCGCTTTTTTATTCCTTTTTTCCTGTCCTTCTTAGTATTGTACTCAAGGGCGTAAACAGAAATAAATCTATAGGGGGACAACATTTTTATTGCCCCCCCCCCTTTAGGAGCTAATATGGGGAGCAAAATTGAACGGTAAATTCAAAACATTTGGCTTCTCGGATATCAGGCAAAAGTATAAGATGCTTTAAAGGTACACATACAGTTCAATTACCTTGCATGTACTGTACATTATCTCTCCTTCAACAAAACTAGCAGAAAAAAGTATTGCTTCTAAAAAATCGACATTTTATTATACTGTTATGTTAGTAATAATTAGTATTTAAACAAGAGATAGTAAAAGACATTTTTGAAAATGAAAAACTCAACTTAAACTTTAATTCTATGAGTTGAAAAAAAGGACAGAGGTTCAGAAAATTATTATAACTTGTAAAAGTTTCCATTTTGAAAAAAAGTAGAAGTACAATTGTAATCTATATAATAAAGCTCTTCGTTCATTTATATGTTTGCTATGGCTGGCCAAACGGCTGAATCAATTGGGCTGAATTTTAGTGAGGAAACTCATGGATACTCTTGGGGAAAACATAAGCTAAATATATTATAAGTTTGTTTTTTTAATTCGATTTTTAAAATTTCACGGGCAACGCCGGGCACTTCAGCCAGTTTGTAATAAAAAGAAAGATTACAAAACGGCGGTGAAATGAATAAAGTAAATTAAATCCAAATTTTAAAAAAATGATCTTTAACTACCTCCAAACTCAAGCCTTCGAGGCTTGGCATTTAAAATAATTATTTTACTCTGCTATCACTGATAGTGCCCATCCGATTAGGATAAATGTGCATTCTAGATACATTTTTCATTCGGACATCTGTCCTGGTGGCTCTGTTACACGTAAACAATCTTCTAAGTGCAACT